AACACTGGACAGTGCACATTCACCTTTGAGAGGATTTCACCTGAAATGGAAATGTGAACTATGAAGACCTCAGAAAATTAACTTTAGTATCATATTCTACAAGAGAGCAACAATTATTTTAAAGCTGTAAAAGTTGATATTAACAAGCATTTTGTATGGAATGTGATAGTTACCTTCAGTGAAAGGAAGAACCTCATGTGGGGAGACAAATTTATGGAAGGTATCCTCTTCATTTGGGAACTAAGGACACAAAATAGTTTCATCATCATTTGTCATTGGCAGGAATGAATCAAATTTGACAGACTACACTGTCTTCTTACCTGAGGCGAGAGCTTGAACATGGGAGCACAAACAATCAGGGGTGTTGAGTGGTACTTGGCTGCGAGAGCTAGAGTGTGTGTCCCATTGACAGCCCTCGGCCCTCCATTAGCCAGAACTGTCTGTGTACCAATGATGACCTAAAAGGAGATTGCCTCACTGGCTAAAGGTGCATTAACTAGGATTTTACACACTGCCTGATAAATCAATTGAAAATGCGACAGGATGTCATGTCTGTCTGCTATACTACCCAGCTCCTTGACACTCTGCTGCCTACAGCCCTTCTGATGTTATACAGTCTGTAAATCAACACCGCCTGCCACCTAGCAAAAGTTATAAGCGGTGTTTTTCAATCCCCAAGTGGACATTTCAAACAGCCAGGTACCTTGAAACCTGCAGAAAACAACAGAGCAAACAGGCTCCACACAAAGGAGATACTGTGCACAGATATGCCATTTTTGCAGAACACACCATTTGTTTTCATATGCACAGCATAATATATTACAGAGTAGACAGGGGATCCTGGAAATGCATAATGCAAATGAAAGTTTGAATGGTTTATCTTAAAAACAATCTGCCTCTGTCAAATAATTCCAGTCAAAATGAAGGCTTGTTGGTGCTTTCTTTGCTTCTAGCCCTATATAGAGTGTCATACTGTCCACTGTTTGAATTACATTTTTAAAGTGTTTTCATTATACATAATGAACAGCAACAATACTACAGGTTACATACATACACACATTACTGATTGTGATTCTAAAACTACAAAATTTAAAGAAAAAACTAAAATAAACAAAAATAAACTAAATGAAGACAGCTAATCTTCAGGTTTTTGGTTACACTTTGTTTTATGGGTTTGACTGTTCCAAAGCACAGCATTTTTCCAGGAAATTATTGGAAAATATGGACCTCTAAAATAATATCATAATAAATTTTGTTGGGCTACACTTAAAGTTAAATTTAGTCTAATGAGCATGTCAATTATTAGTTTACTACCAATGAAGCGGTGTATAGACTGCTTTGTGCCACATTATTAAAGACCAAATAATACAAGTTCAAAACAAAAATCAAAACCCAAATGAATGTAATAAATAAAAAACATCATCATCAGGTCAAATAGACACTGTTGATTAATAAACAGCTGTTGCTTTAGATTAGGTCCTATGGTGGCAGCCCAGAGGACTCTGCTGTTTACATAGGCAACAAATCCAGATTCGCATTCATTACATTCAAGGAGTGTATTGTAATCAGAGACGTTAACCTACACGTATAACATTTCCAGTGCAATGACTGGTATCAGCAGCTGAGAATCACCTGGCGTATTCCTCTCTGATGACCTTCAGGACCCGTCTGATCATATTACCAACAGTGGTCTCTGACAGCTGGGCTGCTGTACAGAGGTTGGACTTACACGTATCCCAATGCTATTGGCCATAGGCATGAGCAGGCCAACCTCTGCTCATGTCAGCTTACTAAATATGCAAATAAAATGGTGTGGGGAGTGTTGCAACTCAGGCGGTACCTAACAAAAACATGAACATATGGTCAACTTCAAAGTGCAGACATCCTGCATACACATTCTTTAACAGACAAACAGGAAAGACTAAGCAGTTTTAACAGTCATGAAGTATGGAGTAAAAAAATTTAAAAAATATGACTCAAATATTACATAAGAACGGCCCTGTTGCTGTGAAAAAAGAGCACAGCTATTTAAACATTATAGTTTAAAACATGGAAGTTCTGCGAGAACAGAGCCATTTCCTTGCTTACACCAGGAATGTCTGTGTACATTTAAATCATTAATGCTAAAAGTGCATTTGTCCCATATTCACACCAAAACTGGTAACCTGGTAGGTTTAGCTGCCTATCATGTGAATTTGCTGAGTCTTGTTCTGAGAATGAATTTTTAATTCACTTACATTCTGCACATCTTAAAGTAAACCATAGAATCAGGTGCCCTTACAAAGACTGTAACTTTGCTAACTTTAAAGCAGTGTTTACTCCACTTTCAAAGGGCACAAGAGTAAAGTACACAAAGAACAGAACTGGAAGAGGTTTAAATCAGAAATCATTGGTGATGATTTTGTAAGTCATGACCGTGATGCTGCACAAGAGCAAATGTCAGATGCAGATGATATGGAAGACTTAGTAGAGGTGAGTGATGTAACCAGTGAGAATGATTTTCATGATTTAGAAAAACCACTTGAGCACATCTTAGCATCTCTTATGTTAAAGATGCAAACTGTTCTGCACATACTAGAAAGTGCAGTACAAGATGTGATACAACAACTTTGTCATATCAATAAGCTGTCACAGCCGCTTGTCCAAACCAGAGTCAGGGCTGTACTAAAGAAATATTACGCTGATATGGATGAAACTGTTGTGAAAGAGGTTGTCAGTGCTGTGTCAGAAAGTAACATGATGACATATTGTACCAAAGATGGACCCTTAGGAAATGTTAAAAAGAGAGCAGCCTATGTACGCCGAGAGTTTCCTCTGGTAAAGCCCATAGAATATGTTGTGGAAAAAGGCAAAAAATCTCTGGCGTACGTTCCCATTGTTCCCATGCTAGAAAGGTTGCTTAACAAACTAATATTTTAGACAAAGCTATGTCAGAAAAGGTCAGTGTTCCACATCAGTACAGCTCATAAGCAGATGGGCAGCACTTTACTGAAAATTTACAATTGCTCTTGGCCTTTACATCAATGTTTTTGAAGTAGTCAATCCTCTGGGAATGTCAAAGCTGAAACACAAAATGTGTGCAGTATACTGGGTTATTGTCAACTTACCTGAAAAATATAGGCCAACCCTCAACTCTATTCAGCTTGCTCTACTATGCAATACCTCCACAGTAAAAGAGTGTGGTTATGCAAAAGTTTTGCAACTGCTGATCTATGATTTAAAGTTACTGGAGCAAAATGGTGTTTACCTGGAGCAGCTAGGTGCAAGTGCAGGAGGTGAGAGAGAACCCAGGACCGAGTCGGACTTATGGTGTGAAAGGAGCATGTCCTTTAACTGAGAATCTTGAGCACTTTCATGTGGTCAGTGAGTACCCTCCTGACATCATGCATGATATCTTGGAAGGCATTGTTCCACTTGAATTGTCCCTGTGTCTTACAGACCTGATAGGCAGTAGTTATTTCACACTAGATATGCTGAACCAGGTCATCAGGTACTTTAATTACACATTTAAGAGACCGACCTCAGATGATTGGAAAAGGATTTTCCACCAAAGGGACCATAGACGGGAATGCCCATGAGAACTGGCGCCTCATACGGCTTCTTCCATTTCTTATTGGGCACTATGTTTCTGAGGGTGACAACACTTGGGAAATTCTCATGCTTCTCAAAGACATTATTGAGCTAGCTGTAGCACCAAGGCATACAGAAGAGACACCGCATTTCCTGAACTGTAAGATTGTAGAGCACAGACGCTTGCTGCAGTCAACATTTCCAGATGTTCATTTAAGGCCCAAGCATCACTATGTGGAGCATTACCCTGAGCTTATACGGAAATTTGGTCCCCTGTCTGAGGCCTGGACAATGCAGTTTGAAGGGAAGCACAAGTTCTTTAAAAGGGTAATTCGCAATGCTCAGAACTTCAAAAATGTTGCCATGACACTTGTTACAAGAAACCAGAGGGCAATCGGTAACCATCTTGACTGTAGCTCATTTTTTAGAACATCGGTTGTGATATCAAAGGTTACCCCAGTGTTGCTTGCCACTTTCCCACAGACTGTTCAGACTGCAATTGCTCAAAACATCACAGTACCAGGGTCAGTGCTTGATGTGTCATCTGTCTGTGTAGATAGAATCAAGTATCATACAGGCATGATACTCTCTGCTGGCTCATGTTCAGGTCTTCCTGAATTTGTTCAGATTGAAAAGATTGTTGCAGCTAATGCAGAAATTCTGTTTGTCTGCTACAAAATGACAGCATGGTACTCTGAGCATTTCAGATCTTATCAACTCTTGGTAAAAATATCCAGCACCTCATCTGGCATCACTTTATGTCCCTGTGTTCGGACAGCAGAGTAAGTCCATTCAGGCGACTCTCAGACATTGTGCTCCGTCTTAAGTCCTTTATTCTTCCAAGTCTTGAAAAACTCCTCTCAACATGAGCAGTTGTTACTGGAACTGTTACCAATATCTGAAGGAGTTTAAATACGTTTGGGAAGAAATTTTGATTGAAGGCATTTATTGCATCAAGTGCATTTCTTGGCAAAACAGCTGCACTGCTCCATTTAGTACACCTGGTCTCGATTTCTGCCTGCAACATACAGAGATGATCAGTGACATCTTCAGGGTACAGCTGTTTAAGCTTCATCAAAGCTGTGTCACCTGCTTGAGCCCTAAAACGAAGCAGTGCTCTGAAATCTCCATCATTTTCTGTTGGCTCTTCAAGCTGAACCCGAAATCCACCCCCCTGGCTACGCCCTTGCCTATGGCCCAA